GCACAATTGCTGAATGAAGAATAAAGAGGTACGCATTTAAAAGTGCTGAGCGGTTTGGATTCTGATATTCTGAACCGCTCTCTCATCAATCCCAATAATAATGCTGAGTATGAAGCAATGTAATCCCCATCTATAGGTTTCATTGTGTGTCTGACAATGGTTTGGATTGAGGAATTTGACCTTGGAAATGTCTGTTTTGAGGCAACTGTTATAGTAACCATCTTGAAATGTCCTATAAAACAAAAATAGCAGGGCATATGGCAGGGCATAGCAACAGACTCAGATTTAACAGTAACAATGCACTGGCAGCATACAATTCCCATTCCCTCCACTGAAATTAACTTGCAATGTTGCACTGTATGAGGTAAGGTGATCATTCTTCTCAATGTCACAGTTCAATGTCAAGTCTCCATCTTGAAGAACCTCTGAGGCAAACAAAGGCTACCTGTAATTTAGCAATCTGCCACTACATTCTCAAAGACAGAAGCTACACTGAACAAAAATATAAACACAACAATTTCTAAGATTTTTGTTCATATAAGGAAATCAATTGAAATAAATTCATTAAGCCTTAATCTTTGGATTTCACATGACTGGGAATACAGATATGCATCTGTTGGTCACAGATACCTTAAAAAAAGCTAGGGGTGTGGATCAGAAAACCGGTCAGTATCTGGTGTGACCACCATTTGCCTCATGCAGCACGAAATCTCCTTCGCATAGAGTTACCTGTGGAATGTTGTCCCACTCCGCTTCAATGGCTGTGTACGAAGTTGCTGGGTATTGGCGGGAACTGGAACACGCTGTCATACGCGTCAATCCAGAGCAACCCAAACATGCTCAATGGGTGACATGTCTGGTGAGTATGCAGGCCATTGAAGAACTGGGCCATTTTCAGCTTCCAGGAGTTGTGTACAGATCCTTGTGACATGGGGCCGTGCATTATCATGCTGAAACATGAGGTGATGGTGGCAGATGAATGGCATGACAATGGGCCTCAGGATTTCGTCACGGAATCTCTGTGCATTAAAATTGCCATCGATAAAATGTCTGTTGCTTATGCTTGCCAATACCATAACCACACCGCCACCATGGAGCACTCTGTTCACAACGTTGACATGAGCAAACCACTCGCCCACACGCTGTTTGCCATCTGCCCAGTACAGTTGAAACCGGGATTCATCTGTGAAGAGCACACTTCTCCAGCATGCCAGTGGCCATCGAAGCTGAGCATTTGCCCACTGAAGTCGGTTACGATGCCGAACTGCAGTCAAGTCAAGACCCTGGTGAGGACGACGAGCATGCAGATGAGCTTCCCTGAGACGGTTTCTGACAGTTTGTTGCCAAAATTCTTCGGTTGCGCAAACCTAGTTTCATCAGCAGTCAGGGTGGCTGGTCTCAGATGATCCGGCAGGTGAAGAAGCCAGATGTGGAGGTCCTGGGCTGGTGTGGTTACACATGGTCTGTGGTTGTGAGGATGGTTGGACTTACTGCCAAATTTGCTAAAACAACGTTGGAGGTGGCTTATGGTAGAGAAATGAACATAAATTATCTGGCAACAGCTCTGGTGGACATTCCTGCAGTCAGCATGCAAATTGCACACTCCCTCAACTTGAGACATCTGTGGCATTGTTTTGTGTGACAAAACTGCAGATATTAGAGTGGCCTTTTATTGTCCCCAGCACAAGGTGCACCTGTGTAATGATCATGCCGATTAATCAGCTTCATGATATGCCACACCTGTCAGGTGGATGGATTATCTTGTCAAATGAGAAATGCTTACTAACAGGGATGTAAACAAATGTGCACAACATTTGCAAGAAATAAGCTTTTTTGTGCTTATGGAAAATGTCTGTGATATTTTATTTCAGCTCATGAAACATGGGACCAACACTTTACATGTTGAGTTTATATTTTTGTTCAGTATAGACCAGATAGGCTACATTACAGTTCTCCTGGCTGCCAATGTGTATAAAACATATCACTCTCCAGCTGGGTTGAAATTCTTAGAATGGGACATTTCACTGATATGCAGGCTTCTCCTTACCAAAACACACAATACAAAGTTACTGTAGTAGGCCTATGTTTACAGACAGCTCTGTAGCTTTCATGCATTCATCACATAAATTAATGAACGTGTCTGGCCTTGGCTTAGGCCGCTACGTCTTGTACATGAAAATAACCAACTTCATTATTCAACAACTATCCAGGTGCGTCGTGACTAGTAGTACTGTACAACATATACAGCTATCAAAATAGCAATTACCATGCATAACAACTGTGCTATTTCTGAGTGGAGAAACTGACAGGCAGCGACGGAGATTTCACAACAGAGATCAGCACCCGCTAAAACGTAGGCAGTGCACAATATATAACAGTATCAGCAATTAGATCAATCTTCTCTCATTGTAGCCTAGTTTGCACTTCAGTCCTCCTTGTGAGCACACATCACAGCTGGGTGCCAATGAACAGAGGCTGAAAATGCAACTGTCATTATCTACCCAAAGCTTCCGCGTCTCGTTGACCACCAACACATTTTTTATCTCTGTACAGTTCGTCTCTGACTACAGATTGGTAGAATATAGTCAATGTCCGACTACGTCAGTTATTGATCACGTTTACTAGAGTAAATGGGAAGTGTCAACACAGCCACCCTTTCACATGAGACTATTTCAGGCAGCATTTTTTATTATCTTACCTTTGAGCTGCGGCAACGGTGAAAGCTCGGTAAAAGTTTGAGTTCGGAACTGGGATGACCCTTGTGATTTCTTCTGTTTCTGGGCCTTCCTCATTGATTTTCGCGTGAACCCGTCCACTTTCTCAGACGCAGAGATAGCCGACATTTTGAAGCATTAACGTTTACTGTATAGTGAAAATATTTTGGACATGTGCGCCAACGACAGATTTAGGGTTTTCCACAAGTGGGCTATGTCTCCCAACCCAGGAGTATCAAAATCTTCTCCAACCTGAAATAATGGGAGTAAACCGCAAACTTTAAAAAACACCTCTTCTGCTTGTTTGTTCCACTGAAGCTTGCTAGTTAATCAGTTTCCATGTAAAGCCCGCATTATTCGTCCCGCTTGTTGAGTCCAGCGAGCTGTTTAGAAAACTAGCTAGTTAGCGTTAGCTGACGTTTCGCGTATCAACAAGCCAGCCAACTCATGACAGATTTATGAAGAAAAAAAAGTATACGTTAACGTTGGCTAATACTGACAGCAAAAACACTGCTTAACTAAATTGCTGGGTATATTTGTTAACTTGTAATTTCTGCAATATAGCAACCTGTTGCTATAATTTTCATTTTTATAGCTAACGTTAGCTACTTCAGAGAGAACACTTATGCTAGCTAGCTAGCATAAAACTAGCTGTCAGTGCTAGCTAGCTAAATGACAGACAGAAAACGCTAATGCTAGCCAGCTGTCTGCTTGGCTAATGTTAGCTAGCTACTTTGTTAAAACGCACAGTTAGCTAGATAATATGAACATTTACAATTTAAAGCGAACTGTCATGATGAAATTCATACTAATTTCCACAAGAAAAATAAATGTTGTATTCCGTGTCTTCTAGCAGCAGTTGGCTTTGTCAAAATGAAAAACAGTCTGGACGAATGAAGTCTGGCAACCTCGAACTACTCAGTTTGGTTCGTATATCGGAAGAACCACGGCGTCAATGGAGTCATGTTCAGCACTTTCCCGTGTCCATTTAGTCTGAAATATCGAGTTGCACTGACATACCGATAAGCACTTTTTACTTGTGTCGGACGTCAATAATAACTTTTTCCGCTATATTAGATAACACAATTCCATGCAAAAGCTTCCACACTGTACACTCAATGCAACCATAAACAGCTTTATGAGTCCATCGTTGTCGGGTTGCATTTTGTGACACAAGTGTACGTCTTTGACAGGCAACTCCAGTGGCCAACCAAAATGTTGAAACAGGCACGCTCATGCCTTTTTTAACCAATTGAATTCGACGAAGACCGGGCTTTAAACCATGTGATAATATGCACAGAAAACAAATACCAGTAAATTGGCAACTGGAAACGTTTATAAATAGGCAGGATACTGTATCCATATGAACAAATTGTAAACATTGTCATTTCAGATCACACTGGCCTTCAAGTGAGTGCTTCTTTTGAGGCCAGGCATAGGTTGCAATTGCAAATACATCAGTTACTATATTTATGCATCAGGAGGATACACTAACATCCAATTAATATGTCAACAATATTTACAGCAGAGATCCAACAGTGTTTTGTGAGGTTAGAAAGATTGTTTGGTCCCACAATCATGTGATCCTCTGAATGTAAGCCCCCAGGACTAGTAGCATGCTAACCTTTGCACATGTGATCACATGCAGAGAGCAGAAGAAAATGTTCTCATGAGGCACTCGCATTAGCTCAAACACCAGACATCCATGTTTCAGACAGACACAAAACATTTTTGCTGGTTGACTGGTCTACAAACTATCACGCATTCAAAGACTCTTTTCAGTACAAATGATCTCAGTGTGTATGTCAAAACAGGATAAACACAGTGCAAACACATATGCCAAGTTACAACCAGTGTCGGAAACCTTTGACTGATATACAGCATTGCATGGGCTGTGAAGCCTTTGACTGTTAAACAGCATTGCATGGGCTGTGAACTGTTATAATGTAGTACTAACAACACTACAGACTCATCCGAAGTTTGGTCTTAATGTACTTTTACAAGTATTGTTATGTCTAGGGACTTACTTTCTGCATTATCACCTAAATATTTTGTAGGGAAATCTGACGTTTTACTTTACTAGTGGTAATTTTAGTCTCATGGCCTTTTTGTGAACACTCATGACTTGTAGTGTGACATGGTAGTGACACAGCTAATTATTCAGTATGGGGACCCAAGACTGGAATTCAAACTTGTGCAGACATACCATGAATGGTGTAGGGTGAAGTTGCCCCTAGACGCATTTAATGGTTACGGTTAGGATTGGTGGAGGGGAAGCGGATCCTAGTATACAAAGTTAATGTACAAAATAAAGACATGAGAACAGGAATCTCTTCTAAGTTTGTCTTCTATGTTGAGTGGACAACTTGTTTTAAGGATACGCAATATTGTACCCATTTTTGGGGATTTTAAGGTTAAGAATCAACCCACATATATAAATGTATCTTTAAAAAGATTTCTCTATGTTGAAAAGTGATCCAAATCAAAATACATTCATAGGAAATAAAATAAAAAATTTACAAATATAAAATACTGTAGGAGCAGCATAAAGGATTCTGCACTCAGTTCTCTCGGAGTCAGCACTGAAAATACAATTTCAGTCCAACCTGATCACTCCCGAGTCCTTCGCTGGAAGTAGGAGGATATTTTCTTCATGGATCGCGGTGAGCGCATTTCCCAGGAGGGAGAACGCATTGCCTGGGAGAGGGAAGGAACAGGAGAAAGGTCAACGATAACAGCTCCCTGATTATGCAGTAAGAGACATCAGTGTTTTTTCTACATTGGGAAACACCATCTGTTATCACAGAGTGCCTTGTAAAAGTATTCATCCCCCTTGGTGTTTTTCCTATTTTGTTGCATTACAACCTGTAATTTAAATGGAGTTTTATTTGGATTTCATGTAATGGACATACACCAAATAGTCAAAATTGGTGAAGTGAAATGGAAAAAAATAACCTGTTTCAAAAAAATTATAAAACATAAATAACGGAAAAGTGGTGTGTGCATATGTATTCACCCCCTTTGCTATGAAGCCCCTAAATAAGATCTGTTGCAACCAATTACCTTCAGAAGTCACATAATTAGTTCAATAAAGTCCACCTCTGTGCAATCTAAGTGTCACATGATCTCATATAATATATATATATATCTATCTGTTCTGAAAGGACCCAGTCTGCAACACCACTAAGCAAGGGGCACCACCAAGGACCTCTCCAAACAGGTCAGGGACAAAGTTGTGGAAGCAACACTCGAGTGGTTTAAGGGGAAACATTTAAATGTCTTGGAATGGCCTAGTCAAAGCCCAGACCTCAATCCAATTGAGAATCTGTGGTATGACTTAAAGATTGCTGTACACCAGCAGAACCCATCCAACTTGAAGGAGCTGGAGCAGTTCTGCCTTGAAGAATGGGCAAAAATCCCAATGGCTAGACATGCCAAGCTTATAGAGACATACCCCAAGAGACTTGCAGCTGTAATTGCTGTAAAAGGTGGCTCTACAAAGTATTGACTTTGGGGGGGGTGAATAGTTATGCGCGCTCAAGTTCAGTTTTTTTGTCTTATTTCTTGTTTGCTTCACAAAAAAATATATTTTGCATCTTCAAAGTGGTATCCATTTTAATTCCAGGTTGTAAGGCAACAAAATAGGAAAAATGCCAAGGGGGGGTGAATACTTTCGCAAGCCACTGTAGTTGTAAATGAGAACTTGTTCTCAACTGGCTTACCTGGTTAAATAAAGGTGAAATAAAATGAAAAAAAAATAAATAGAAAGTAGTTTTTTTTTTACACCATTATGAAAAACACATCCAAGAGATGGAGCAAATCCTGTTAAGAACATCAATAGACTTCACACATTTCTGGTCAACTTGTAACTTAGGATCTTGTGCATACCGGTGAGGTCGGTATCCTGCCATCTTGCCTCTTGAAGGCACTGGGGCTTCTGAGAGTGCTGCTGGGGTTTCCCACACCTTTCCTCAGCTTCTGGCTCATCACTGACAACCAGTCTGCCCCTCCTGGAGAGCTGTTCTCCTTGTCTGCCTGTGTGGCTGGGACAGGCCTCACCTGGAGGTCCGCTTTTCTCCAGGCCTCGCTCCTCTCTGTGCCCGCATGAGGTTGCTCCTGGCTGGGGCAGCACACTCCTGCTAGTCCCCGGCTCCTCTTGGCTGCGGGGTAGAGCTCTGTGACGCAGTTGCACTCCCCCGAACCTTCACAGCCCCCTGCTGCCCCACCGTCACCAGTCTCCAGCCGGCGCTTGGTCCTCCTCTCCGAGTGAAGGGTAGGGACGGGACTCTGGGGGCAGGGGCTGAGCACCTTGCGGAGAGGAGGAGTGACCTGTTCACTGGGAGTCTGGGCAAACCAGTTCCTGATGAATGAGGGCGTTTTCTGACGTATGAGGGTGGCTTTGGCGCCCTGGGCCTGAAGGGGGGAGGCGGCGGTGGTGCTGGAGGCGAGAGGCAGGTTGGCGCCACTGGGGGCGCAGGCGGCAGGCTGGGGGGAGGCAAGGGCCCCCAGACTCCCTGGCCGGGGACTCTTGGCTGGGGTGCACTCCGCCTGGTTCAAAGGCACTGAGAGAGAAACAGAGTTTAAGTTTCAATCAAAAGAGTTCAGCTTGTTCAAGAAGCATTGGAGATAGTCATCTTTGTTATGGTTGGCAATATACAGACCAGTAAAAGCATTTGAGGATGGTAACCACTACAATGGATATGGAATTTTAGATACTGCCAAATCCTCATCAGGCCATTTTAGTAAAGATGAACCCTGTACAATCCAATTCTTTCATTGACTGGAATGTAAAACATTTCATGGACCCCCTCTCTACTGACAGATAGCAGCAGTAGTGGTGGTGGTACTCACTTGGACTGGGCACGGTGATGGCAGGTTTAGGATATGCCCAGCCCACCAGATTGGCCTCTCCGACAGAGGACTTTGCTCGATCCGTCCCCCGGTCCAGACGCCAGATCCGTACGGTGTTGTCATCAGAGCAGGAAGCAATCTGCCAAGACAGAGCATGAGATTACACAGGGCCCCAATCTGCACCTCTCCTAGCCTGGTTAAACCAGACAGAATGCTGTGCTCATCATTGTTTCAATGGTGAACGCAGCTTTCAGTCTGGTCTACCCAGGCTACCAACCTGAACCTGCTCCTCCAGACCACTTCAACTATCACAATTCTGTTTTATGGCAAAAGCATAATATTTAGAATGAGCAGATCAAACTGAAAACATTTGCTCCAGGGACACAGAATGGATATAAAGGCAGCTTAAAAAGGTATCTTCCCTGGCCGCTGCAGGATGAGCGTTCTCGAATGAGTAACATTTAAAACTCAAACTCATCTGAATTACTAAAATGTAACATCTGAAATCATGCTGACTATGTGAACATAGACAAAATCTTAGATCTCACCTTTGTGAAATCTGTGGGGCACCATGCTATGGAGGTCACTTCCTGGCTGTGGCCCTGAAGCATCATGGGAGGCTGTTTTGGGTCGGACATCTGAAATCAGAAAATAAGTTGGTAAGACACTGTTATAAACGCATGGATAGAATAGTCAAAGCATGTTGATTTGTCAGCCATCATCTATCAGTATGTTTTTCTAAGGTTTTCACTGGATTGGTCAAATCAAAAATGGCAGCTCACCTTCCAGATGTATGCATGATGGTCACTTGAGCCACTAGCCAGGAACTGGTTGTCGGGGCTAACAGTGGACTTCACATAAAACGAGGAGTTGAGGTGACCACCGAAGACTGCCACTGCAACAGAAAGACGTGTTGGAACATCAGAAATAAAAGTGCACAGAACCAGACATTGAAACCACCAGAACAACATTTCAGTTGTTCAGAGTACACAGGGTGAGTACACAAAAAGTGGTAAACAAACAGGATCCTGAAGAGGCTCTCCACATATTACTTCCTGATTGGTCAAGAGACTGGTCACATGGTAGGTCAGAGCCCCCTGGGCTACATTCTTGGCTAATTCCTGAGGAGTAGCGGTTGCAAACAATACCAGGGCCGTGTTTGGTATTTGGTATTTGGCGAAAGCAGCAGCTACTCTTCCTGGGGTCCACATTTATAGACAAGAACAGTTCAAGGACAGAACTACATCAATTTTAAAATGGCACACATAGCCTACATATCAATACATACAAACTATCTGTTCATTAAGCACCAAAAGGGGAATTAACTGAAACATGGAGGGGCTACCTGGACTTGTCCAATAAGAACTGCTAATTTTCTCTTTCCATTGCAACCTGAATAGTTTTCTGTTGCATGTCCCAATGAACACAACCCAGACTGTGAGGACTGATAAACAAACACTGAGGTATTTCTCATCTCTCTGTCAAACAGTCTCTTGTACACGCTGGTACCCATTCAGCCATTCAACAACCTCTGGGCTATTGTAAAGGCACGTGAATGACAGTAGCCCAGAGGTTTGCAGCAATACGCCATCCCATCTGGTTTGGGCTTAGTGGGACTATCATTTGTTTTTCAACAGGACAATGATCCAACACACCTCCAGGCTGTGTAAGTGCTATTTTACCAAGAAGGAGAGTGATGGAGTGCTGCATCAGATGACCTGGCCTCTACAATCCCCCGACCTCAACCCAATTGAGATGGTTTGGGATGAGTCGGACGGCAGAGTGAAGGAAAAGCAGCCAACAAGTGCTCAGCATATGTGGGAACTCATTCAATACTGTTGGAAAAGCATTCCAGGTGAAGCTGGTTGAGAGAATGCCAAGAGTGTGCAAGCTTGTCATCAAGGCAAAGGGTGGCTACTTTGAAGAATCTCAAATATAAATATATTTTGATTTGTTTAACACTTTTTGGTATCACTACATGATTCCATATGTGTTATTTCATAGTTTTGATGTCGTCACTATTAATCTACAATGTAAAAAAAAAAAGATAGTACAAATAAAGAAAAATCCTTGAATGATTAGACTGTCCAAACTTTTGACTGGTAGGTGTATCATTGTATCATTATTTGCAACTTTGCCATGGAAATGGAGCAGTATCAGTAGCACATCTATTTCATGTGCATTTAGAATACACAAAATCTAAATGTGTTACTTTTCTTCAGACCTAAAACACCAAAAAAAAAAGTAGTCAACTAAAAAAAATCTTCGATGGTGATATTGCGCCACTTTTGATGGGTAGTGTTAGGCCTCATCATTAACTTGCCCTAAGAACTGTTCGATCCATGAATGAGCAGTCGCGGAACTCACTAGACCACAATGGCCAAGACAGCACATCCAGGGTATTAGGAATGCGCAATTACTCATTGATAGAGCAGGCGTTTACTAAAGGTTGTTCTTCTTCCACCTACCATAACAAAAAAAAATTCATGTGTTAGTTTTCTTCCAGACCTAAAAAAACATTGTCTTCCGATGTGATATAATCATCGACATGGACTCAGAACATCCAATTTCATTGTTTCTCTATAAAACCTGGAAAAGTAATTTGGGGTGGAGAAAAATGGATTTTACAGGGCCCCCTTAGAGTTGTTTATTAACCATTATAAACTGGGTGGTTTGAGCCCTGAATGCTGATTGGCTGACAGCCATGGTATATCAGACCGTATACCACGGGTATGACAAAACATCTCTTGTTACTGCTCCAATTACATTGGTAACCAGTTTCTAATAGCAATAAGGCACCTTGGGGGTTTGTGGTATACGGCCAATGTACCATGGCTAAGGGCCGTATCCAGGCACTCCGCGTTGCGTCGTGCTTAAGAACAACCCTTAGCCATGATATATTGGACATATACCACACCCCCTCGTGCCTTATTACTTAATTATTTGACAGAAAACATAGTGCACTACTTTTTCTTGTACACTAAGAACCCGGGGAAGAGTTGCAGGGGAGAGAAGAGAAGAATGTGCCTATATGAAAGCTAGAACAAAAACGAGAAGCTCGCGACATGTTTAATTTTTTTAAAGTAGCTCTCATGCTAGAAAAAGGTTGGAGACCCCATGCTGTACAACTAGCTATTTAAGCAAATTAATCTTCCCAAAGTATGGCATTTTTACCAAACTGACAGACAACTTCCATACATCAAATGGAAGTCGCTCTGGATAAGAGCGTCTGCTAAATGACTAAAATGTAAAATGTAAATAGCCTCAACTGAACAGAAGTAGTGTGCAGCCCCATCTGGTGGTAAACAGTGGTACTGGCAGATTGAAATGTAATGGCGTGCGGGGAGCTGAATGTGAATGGGTGGGAGACTATACAGCAGATGCATTAAAGTAACTTGCTATAAAAACAAAGTCACAGGCTAAATGCAGACATGCTTCTGATGGATGTAGCCATGGAAACAGGATGACATAGAATGAGCTTTGTATGGAGCATTTGTTTACCTGGAGTGGTTTTCAGCCCGCTGATGTTGAACATGTAGATGTTGTCGTCGGTGCAGTTGGAGAACAGGTTGGAGCCTGTGGAGTCCAACACCAGCCCTGAGTAACCTGTCACACAGACAACACAGGTCAGGTCCTACACGAGGAAACCCTAAAAATTGACTCAACCTAGGTCCTATTTGAATACTTGTAAAATGTTTCCTTCATTCCTTTGAAGTAATCACTGATCTGATACTGTTGGCTAGGTGAAAGTAGGGGTTCCAGAGACCAAATAGCTTTCACCAATCCAGTGAGGTCTGATAAGTTATTAGCCTAATTCAAGGAAGGGAAGATGCAATTTTGAAGAATTCAAATTGGGCCATAGCCATGTTTGAGAAAACCCACCTAGTTTCCGTGTGCTCGTTCCTGGGTACGGGTACGCCTGGAGGGGGATGGGGTCATGGTGGTACGCCGTGTAGTTTTTCCGAAGGTCCCACATCTTGATTATCCTGGTTAGGAGGATAAATACATCACAATTCATGTCAGAATCGTTCTGCGTGATGCAGGCGTCACATACATCCTTACAACAGTCATCTGGGTCATGTTCAGTATGCACAAAACGGAAGGAAACAGGGTGGTACCATCTGAATTTCTCCCATAAGAAATGCTTGATTTAGTTACCCATTGTAAAACGTTATGTTACGGTGTGTCTAAATTAATATGGCCCTGTCTTATTAGATTATTCTTACCCATCAACAGCTCCTGAGGAGATGACTGTGTGTTCATCCTGGAACAGAACCACCGTGACACTCTGCTGGGAGTCCTACAAGAGAGATGAAGATCAGTTCTTACTATCCCAGTCCCTAATCATGATCAATATGAAAAACAAAGCTGACACTGGGTCAGTTGTTAATGGTATTAGGGTTTTACCACTCACCACAGAGGGGGCCATGCCGCGTGTGCCGGGGCGTTTCTTCTTCGTGTTAGAGGGTGTGTTTCTGTCTGTCTTATTGTGAGCCCCACTGATCTGCTTCACCTGCCTGTAGAAGCCATCTGAGGGAAAAACAACCAACACCATTACTCACCGAATAATCTCTTGTGGACAGACTACGTAACATAACTGGCATCGTAGCATCTATCAACAGACTGTGGGATGCGATGACTAACAAGGTACTTTGTACCGGTGCACAGATTTTTTTGTCACTGATCATTTGGACAAATCATCGATTTTGCAGGTGTTCGCCCGTTTTTGAATTTCGGAAAGGGGAGGGGACATTTGGCCGACTTGCAGAGAGAGGGGGTGGAGCTACCGGCCTGCTTCCGCTCCTCCTTATAGTATATTTTCTAACATTTTTCTAACACGTCTCCCCGCACAACTTAATCGAGCATCTGATGCAATAACCCAAGATTTTAGCTCTGGGTTTCAAAGATTACTCACTGAAAAACTCAAAACACTAAAGAAAAGCGTAACCACTTTTATATCTGGCTTTACCTTTTTTGCTGCACCTTGTGTCCCAGACCATAATATTCCCATCTCGCCCCCCAGTACAGAACACAGCTGTGGGAGAAGAGAGAAGCCAGAGCGGACGGTTACCATGGTTACTCAGAGACGCAGTGTCCGGATGTTTTCAGTAGCTGAGCTGTCAAGCTGGTCAGTGATGATGCCTACGACTAATCATATAACTAATATTTGTGGCATGGCTATACACATGTAAAGTCTGAAAGACCATACACTCGATGGAGCAAGCAGTGTCCCTGCATTCAGGAAGAATATGTCTACATGTTTTCAATGTATCGTGCGCTGCCCCTCTGGGACAATAAAGTTATATTGAATTGATTAGAAATGTACCCTTCTCCTGCTGTGTGAATGCAACAGACTTGAGGCTGCACTGGTGCCCCTTGAAGCTGCCAAGGAGCTCCCCTGATGTCACATCCCACAGCTTGGCCATCTGATCACCTGATGCGGTCACCTGATGGTGGAAATACACAAACATAATTTTATCATGTGTCCTATAAAATGTCTATTAAAAAAATACTTGTCTGATCACCGTGTGTGAAACAACCAGGAAAAATGTATACTCACCAAGCTAGCCTCCCCTGGCACCCAAGCAAGGTCAAAGACAGCATTATCATGTGCCATCCATTCTGTGGAATAGAATACATTAAGTTTGTACCCCAATTGGCCTACAACAAGGCAAGCTAGACTGGTGATTCAGACAGCTGCAGTGGCTATTGGCTAGTCACACAACTAGTGTTGTGCCTCAACCTTCCTAGGGGGTCTGCATCATAAGGGAGCTTCATGATCATACCATCTGTTGTCTGAGCTGAATAAACAAGATACTTGAGTTACTCTGTTGTTGGTGGTGTGATTCTGCCACTCAGGCATAACTTACCTTTCAGAAGTGGACTTTTCCTGCGGTTTTCTGTGTTGTAGAGCCTCAGGACTCCCTCCTCATTGGCCACCGCAAGGACGCCCTGCATCCCCGGGGCTGAGAACGTCAGGAAAATAAGCGGTTAAAAAAAGAAAAAAAAGAACGAAATCAGGACAGTGGTTCATGGTTGTCGCCCTCAAAGACAGAGTACAATATTTCCTGTATTACCTGTAGAGAAGGCGCATCCAACTGGGGGCACGGCGACCCCCAAGGTCCCGTGTGAGATGTGTTCATCATGACGGGCACACTGGTAGCCGTCCAGCAGAGAGGACAAATTGTATTTTGGGCTGAGGTCTGTTGGGGATGGAGAAATAAATAAATTGCCACTGAGGAACATGCAGTGAAATACTGCATCGAGAGCCACCCTAACCCCAGTCCGGCCTAGGTAGGTCCTTGGCTTAGTCACGTTAGTCATTAACTAGCTAGCTACCAGTACTTCCCACAACAACAATTAACAAGACACATATTAAATGAAAATATGCCTCCGAGTATAAGATAGTAACATGATCAGGATATGCATTTTTTTTGAATCAACGAGTTAACAATCGATTGAGTAGATCTAGCTATCGTCGACACAAAATGGCCAGCCTAGCAGCCAACACTGCTGAAGTGGACACAGCTGAGCTAGCTAGCTTACTTTGGGCTAACTATAGCTAGTTAACGTTAATAAGAGTCAAACCAGACGGAAAACTGTCTGGATCCCTATAAATTGACATTCTCACCATTGCGCCTCCGTTTACAGACTCCTCTGTCAACAATGGAGCGAAAAAGCATTTCTGTAACTAGCCGAAGCCAGATGATTTTAAAACTATTTCGATTCTTCAGAGGAATTTCTGTGCGGTGGTCATCAGTTCGGGGCTCCTCTTTCCCGCGAACTGAAGTAACAGAAAGATAGGACCAATCCCCCGCTAAAGTTGCGTCACACGCGCTGATTGGTTGGAAAGTTGACACTTCATGTATTACGTCACTTTCTACCTATGTGCCGAATGGAACATGCTAAATTCAGTGGCTAAATTGATACTGTTAAAGAGATTATAAAGTTATTTCTCGTGAAGTCTAAAATATAAACAATGTTGCTTTCAACTGCACGTCCATTCTTGTCAGAGGCTGGTTATGGGGAACAATAATTGGTTACAAATCCAGCCCTCATGGAGTTGGACAAAGGTGTGAACAGTTAGCCTGTTATCTAGCAACTAGCTTGCTAAGCTAGCTACTACAATTAAAATAACTAGCAAACAAGCTAGCTTGTTTGCTAGTTAGACACGGACACGAATGATCTGCTTGGCGTGTTGACACACTGGTGGTTTGTTGTGGCCGAGTATTGGTGCTAAACCGTGTTGTTGGGGTCCAGCATGCTAGTTGGCTGTGGCGTCATATGACTAGGTGCCCTGGACGATTTTCACAGAAGAATACTGTACCAAGTTAGCTAGCTGAATAAACTAAGTTAGTCTATTCCTAGAAAACATTGAACCGCTGTAGTTTACAACAATTATAGTTTCTGAGGTGGAAGTTGGGAGAGTTATATTTGGGTGTTTCAGTGAAACGTAAGTGAGGGAGGCCCCGCTCTCTCCTTTCCCAGATGTTTAGTTCATTTCATTCCGATCTCCTTTGCATTATTGTAGCCATTTTCTCTAGCCTGTCAACTATGCCTCTGTCTATCCCTGTTCTCTCCTCTCCGCACAGGCTATACAAAAGCCTCACACCGCGTGGCTGCTGCCTCTCTAACCTGGTGGTCCCTGCACGCACCACCCACATGGAGTTCCAGGTCTCAGGCAGCCTCTGGAACTGCCGTTCTGCTGCCAACAAGGCAGAGTTCATCTCAGCCTATGCTACCCTCCAGTCCCTCAACTTCTTGGCGCTGACGGAAACATGGATTACCACTGAAAACACTGCTACTCCTACTGCTCTCTCCTCGTCTGACCATGTGTTCTCGCATGCCCCGAGAGCATCTGGTCAGCGGGGTGGTGGCACAGGAATCCTCATCTCTCCCAAGTGGACATTCTCTCTTTTTCCCCTGACCCATCTGTCTATCTCCTCATTTGAATTCCATGCTGTCACAGTCACTATCCCATTCAAGCTTAACATCCTTGTCATTTATCGCCCTCCAGGTTCCCTTGGAGAGTTCATCAATGAGCTTGACGCCTTGATAAGTTCCTTTCCTGAGGATGGCTCACCCCTCACAGTTCTGGGTGATTTCAACCTCCCTACGACTCATTTCTCTCTGCCTCCTTCTTTCCACTCCTCTCCTCTTTTGACCTCACCCTCTCACCGTCCCCCCCTTCTCACAAGGCAGGCAATACGCTTGACCTCATCTTTACTAGATGCTGTTCTTCTACTAATCTCACTGCAACACCCCTCCATGTCTCCGACCACTACTTTGTATCCTTTTCTCTCTCGCCCTTCTCCCTTACATCACCTCGCTGATCAACTCATCCTTGACCGCTGGCTATGTCCCTTCCGTCTTCAAGAGAGCGAGAGTTGCACCCCTTCTCAAAAAAACAACACTAGATCCCTCTGATGTCAACAACTACAGACCAGTGTCCCTTCTTTCTTTTCTCTCCAAAACTCTTGAGCGTGTCGTCTTTAGCCAACTCTCTTGCTATCTCTCTCAGAATTACCTTCTTGATCCAAACCAGTCAGGTTTCAAGACTGGTCATTCAACTGAGACTGCTCTTCTCTGTGTCACGGAGGCTCTCCGCACTGCTAAAGCTAACTCTCTCTCCTCTGCTCTTGTCCTTCTAGACCTGTCTGCTGCCTTTGATACTGTTGTCAGGAGCGATGTGTATGCGGTGAGTGAAGTCAAGCGCAGGACACAGAGATACTAGCAGACGTACTTGACTAATAGTAAAGAACAAACAAAGCCTCCGAACCGGGAGGAAAAACAAAATACACGTAATACGACAAAAGCAATGCCGATACCGCCTAGACACAAACAATAACACACAAATACCAAACGTGAGACATGGGTAAATATAGGATCTACAATCAAACATAATAGACAACAGGTGTAACCACTCAAGACAGAACAAGACAAACACCAAAACATCGATCGGCAGTAGCTAGTACTCCGGGGACGACGAACGCCGAAGCCTGCCCGAGCAAGGAGGAGGAGCAGCCTCGGCAGAATCCGTGACAGTACCCCCCCTTGACGCGCGGTCCCAGCCGTGCGCCGACCCCGGCCTCGGGGACGGCCAGGAGGACGCGGAGCAGGGCGAGTCGGATGACTCCGGTGGAACTCCGTCAAGAGGGAGGGATCTAGGATGTCCCTCCTAGGGACCCAGCACCGTTCCTCCGGACCGTACCACTCCTACTCCACGAGATACTGCAGACCCCCCATCCGACGTCTCGAATCCACGATGGAACGGACTGAGTACGCCGGAGCCCCTTCGATGTCTAGTGGGGGCGGAGGAGCCTCTCGTATCTCATTCTCCTGGAGTGGACCAGCTACCACCGGCCTGAGGAGAGACACATGGAACGAGGGGTTAATGCGGTAATTTATGGGCAGTTGTAACCTATAACATACCTCGTTCAATCTCCTCAGGACTTTAAATGGCCCCACAAACCGCCGACCCAGCTTCCGGCAGGGCAGGCGAAGGGGCAGGTTTTGAGTCGAGAGCCAGACCCGATCTCCAGGTGCATACACTGGACCCTCACTGCGGTGGCGATCGGCGCTCGCCTTATGCCTACTGATAGCCCGCTGCAGATGGACATGCGCAGCGTTCCATGTCTCCTCCGAGCGCCGAAACCACTCATCCACCGCAGGAGCCTCGATCTGGCTCTGATGCCAGGGTGCAAGGACCGGCTGATACCCCAACACACACTGAAAAGGAGTAAGATTAGTGGAGGAGTGGCGAAGTGAGTTTGGGCTATCTCTGCCCAGGGGATATACCCCGACCACTCATCCTGCCGGTCCTGGCAATAGGACCTCAGAAACCTACCCACATCCTGGTTTACTCTCTCCACCTGCCCATTACTCTCAGGGTGAAAACCCGAGGTAAGGCTAATCGAGACCCCCAAACGTTCCATAAACGCCCTCCAGACTCTAGAGGTGAACTGGGGACCCCGATCAGACACTATATCCTCAGGCACCCGTAGTGCCGGAAGACGTGAGTAAACAAGGCGTCGGCCGTTTGTAGGGCTGTAGGGAGACCTGGCATTGGAATGAGACGGCAGGCCTTAGAAAACCGATCCACAACGACCAAGATTGTGGTATTCTCCTGGGAGGGGGGAAGGTCCGTGACAAAGTCCACCGATAGGTGAGACCACGGCCGTTGTGGAACGGGTAGAGGTTGTAACTTCCCTCTGAGCAGGTGTCTAGGCGCCTTACACTGAGCGTACACCGAACAGGAAGAAACGTAAACCCTCACGTCCTTTGCCAAGGTGGGCCATCAGTGGCTAAGGCAGTGCACCGTTCGACCAATACCCGGATGACCAGAGGAGGGTGACGTGTGAGCCCAATATATCAGTCGATCACGGATCTCGAGCGGCACGTACTTCCGCCCCTCTGGACACTCAGGAGGAGTAGGGTCTGTACGTAACGCCCGCTCGATCTCCGCATCGACCTCCCACACCACCGGTGCCACTAGACAAGACTACGGAAGTATGGGAGTGGGCTCAATGGACCTCTCCTCTGTGTCATATCGCCGGGACAGGGCGTCTGCCTTCACGTTCTGTGACCCTGGTATATACGTGAGCTTAAATACAAACCGGGTAAGAAACATGGCCCACCTAGCCTGACGAGGGTTCAGTCTCCTCGCTTCCCGGATGTACTCCAGGTTACGATGGTCAGTCAGAATGAGGAAAGGGTGTTTAGCCCCCTCAAGCCAATGCCTCCACACCTTCAGGGCTTGAACCACCGCTAGCAGCTCCCTGTCCCCCACGTCATAATTGCGTTCCGCCGGACTAAGCTTCTTAGAATAAAAGGCACAGGGACGGAGTTTAGGAGGCGTGCCCAAGCGTTGAGACAGTACAGCACCAATCCCCGCCTCGGACGCATCCACCTCAACTTGGAACGCCAAAGAAGGGTCTGGATGTGCCAGCACCGGAACCGAGGTGAACAGGTCCTTCAGATGTCTAAACGCCCTGTCCGCCTCAGCCGACCACTGCAAACGCACCGGGCCCCCCTTTAGCAAGGAGGTGATGGGAGCTTCTACCTGTCCAAAACCCCGGATAAACCTCCGGTAGTAATTGGCAAAACCCAAAAACCGCTGCACCTCCTTAACCGTGGTGGGAGTCTACCAATTACGCACGGCTGAAATGCGGTCAATCTCCATCTCCACCCCTGACGCGGACAACCGATGTCCCAGGAAGGAGATGGACTCCTGGAAAAACAGGCATTTCTCCGCCTTCACATACAAGTCATGCTCCAACAGCCTACCCAACACCCGACGCACCAGGGACACATGCTCGGCTCGTGTAGCAGAGTATATTAGAATGTCATCAATATACACCACTACACCCTGTCCATGCAAATCCCGGAAAATCTCGTCCACAAATGATTGGAAGACTGAAGGAGCATTCATTAACCCGTATGGCATGACGAGATACTCATAGTGGCCCGAGGTGGTAGTAAATGCTGTTGTCCATTCATCTCCCTCCCTAATGCGCAGCAGGTTGTAAGCGCTCCTGAGATTTTGTGAAGAATCGCGCCCCGTGTAATGACTCCGTCATACTCGCAATCAGAGGGAGAGGATAACTGTATTTAATGGTAATCTGATTGAGACCACGGTAATCAATACACGGGCGCAAACCCCCATCCTTCTTCTTCACAAAAAAGAAACTCGAGGACGCAGGAGAAGTGGATGGCCGTATGTATCCCTGTCCCAGAGATTCGGTGACGTATGTCTCCATAGCCGCCGTCTCCTCCTGAGACAGAGGATACACATGACTACGCGGAAGTGCAGCGCCTGCCTGGAGGTCTATCGCACAATCCCCATGTCTATGAGGTGGTAATTGAGTCGCCCTCTTCTTACTGAAGACGATTGCCAAATCTGTATACTCAGGAGGAATGTGCAGTGCGGTCATTTGGTTCGGACTTTCCACCGTCGTTGCCCCTACGGAAACACCTATACACCGCCCGACACACTGATCAGACCATTCCCTGAGAGCCCTCTGTTGCCATGAAATGTTGGGGTCATGAGATATTAACCAGGGAAGCCCCAACACCACGGGAAACGCAGGAGAGTCAATCAAATACAACTGTATAATCTCCTCATGACCCCCCTGCGTCTTCATCTTAAGTGGCGCTGTGACCTCCCTAATCAATCCCGACCCCAAAGGGCGGCTGTCTAGGCCATGGATGGGGAAGGGCACATCAACTGGTATAAGGGGAATCCCTAACTTATACGAGAAACTGCGATCAAAAAAATTCCCAGCTGCGCCTGAATCGACTAGCGCCTTATGCTGGGAGTGAGAAGAAACCTCGGGAAACACAACTTGGATACACATGTGTACAACAGAGAGCTCTGGGTGAGTTGGGCGCTTACTCACCTGGAATGACTCATCAGTGCGTGGCCTGCTGCCTCGATCCCTGGGAGACCCTCCCCAGCACCGAACCGCAGTGTGTCCTCTGCGGCCACAGTTGGTGCAGGGGACGGCCTCTCTCCTGGTCTCCCTCTTCTTCTCTCTAGCACCAGCACCCCCGAGCTCCATAGGGCTCGGCTCGGAGGTGCTGGGGGATGGAATGGACGGCCCCAGCTCCGGACGTCCGCGGGTAGCCAATAGGGTATCCAGACGAATCGACATGTCCACCAGCTGATCGAAACTTAGGTTGGTGTCCCTGCAGGCCAACTCTCGGCGAACGTCCTCCCTTAGGCTGCACCTATAGTGGTCGATGAGGGCCCTCTCATTCCATCCCGCATTGGCAGCCAGAGTCCGGAAATCCAGTGCGAATTCCTGCGCGCTCCTCTTCCCCTGTCTGAGGTGGAACAGACGCTCCGCCCTGAAGCGGCGGGAGAAGTCCGCATAACTGACTGTAGCGGCGTCTATTACCCTCCACTCGGCGTTGGCCCACTCCAGTGCCTTGCCGAACAGACAGGAGATGAGGGCGGAAACGCTCTCGTATACCGAGGGCGCCGGGTGGATGGTTGCCAGGTAGAGTTCTACTTGGAGCAGGAAACCCTGACACCCGGCCGCAGTGCCATCATAAGCCCTCGGGAGCGAGAGCCGAATCCCACTGGACTCCGGAGATGGAACGATGGGTATGGCTGATGGTGGTGGTATTGTTGGAGGTGTGGGCAAACCTCCTCTCTCCCATCGGCTCAAGGTATTCATCACCTCTTGCATGGCGGTGCCCAGTTTCTGGATCATGGCGTCTTGGTGGATTACGCGCTCCTCTAGTGATCCCGTTGGCACCGCTGATCCTGCTGACTCCATGTTGGTGTGTTATTCTGTCAGGAGCGACGTGTATGCGGTGAGTGAAGTCAAGCGCAGGACACAGAGATACTAGCAGACGTACTTTACTAATAGTAAAGAACAAACAAAGCCTCCGAACCGGGAGGAAAAACTAAATACACGTAATACGACAAAAGCAATGCCGATACCGCCTAGACACAAACAATAACACACAAATACCAAACGTGAGACATGGGTAAATATAGGATCTACAATCAAACATAATAGACAACAGGTGTAACCACTCAAGACAGAACAAGACAAACACCGAAACATCGATCGGCAGTAGCTAGTACTCCGGGGACGACGAACGCCGAAGCCTGCCCGAGCAAGGAGGAGGAGCAGCCTCGGCAGAATCCGTGACAACTGTGAACCATCAGATCCTCCTCTCCACCCTCTCCGAGCTGGGCATCTCCGGCGCGGCTCACTCTTGGATTGCGTCCTACCTGACCGGTCGCTCCTACCAAGTGGCGTGGCGAGAATCTGTCTCCGCACCACGTGCTCTCACCACTGGTGTCCCCCAGGGCTCAGTTCTAGGCCCTCTCCTATTCTTGCTATACACCAAGTCACTTGGCTCTGTCATATCCTCACATGGCCTCTCCTATCATTGCTACGCAGACGACACACAACTAATCTACTCCTTTCCCCCTTCTGATAACCAGGTGGCGAATCGCATCTCTGCATGTCTGGCAGATATATCAGTGTGGATGACGGATCACCACCTCAAGCTGAACCTCGGCAAGACGGAGCTGCTCTTCCTCCCGGGGAAGGACTTCTAGTTCCATGATCTCGCCATCACGGTTGACAACTCCGTTGTGTCCTCCTCCCAGAGTGCGAAGAGCCTTGGCGAGACCCTGGACAACACCCTGTCATTCTCCGCTAACATCAAGGCAGTGACCCGATCCTGTAGGTTCATGTTCTACAACATTCGGAGAGTACGACCCTGCCTTACACAGGAAGCGGCACAGGTCCTAATCCAGGCACTTGTCATCTCCCGTCTGGATTACTGCAACTCGCTGTTGGCTGGGCTCCCTGCCTGTGCCATTAATAATAATAATAATAATAATTAAACCCCTACAACTCATCCAGAATGCCGCAGCCCGTCTGGTGTTCAACCTTCCCAAGTTCTCTCACGTCACCCCGCTCCTCCGCACACTCCACTGGCTTCCAGTTGAAGCTTGCATCTGCTACAAGACCATGGTGCTTGCCTACGGAGCTGTGAGGGGAACGGCACCTCCGTACCTTCAGGCTCTGATCAGTCCCTACACCCAAACGAGGGCATTGCGTTCATCCACCTCTGGCCTGCTGGCCCCCCTACCTCTGCGGAAGCACAGTTCTTGAAACACTTGAAACCCCACCTCTTTAAGGAATACCTGGGATAGGATAAAGTAATCCTTCCACCCCCCCTTACCCCACCCCAAAAAAAAGAAAAAAAGAAAAAACACAAAAAATAAATAAATATATATATACATATTGTAAAGTGGTTATCCCACTGGCTATAAGGTGAATGCACCAATTTGTAAGTCGCTCTGGATAAGAGCGTCTGCTAAATGATGTAAATGTAAAATGTAAATGTGATAACTCAAAGTTGTCTATAAGTTCCCAATGTGTACACTGCTTAGATTATCTAAATGTTTGACTGTCTTTCATTTATTACAGGTTAGCAGTTTGGGAAGCTTGGCGGGCAATGTGAAGCGGTGGTCCTCTTCCCCAAACTTTTCCAGAAGTACCCTTTCCCTTTCCCCATCCTCATCAACTCTGCCGTCCTGAAACGGGCAGACACCTTCAGGCTTGGGAAACAGAGGATTGTGACATTTAAACAAAACATTACTCTGCAAAATCCTAAATACAATGCAGTACTGATCAATATCAAAATGCATAAACCTCTGCCTCAGAATCGTTCAAGGCAGCTAACCAGAGTGAGATTTTACCATATTGTCCTTATACTGTAATAAATAAACATCTCTCCCCTCTTTCAGGAACAACTTTCTGCGCCTCTGTGTGTTGAAGGTGACTCAACAGAGCGAGAAGCACCTTGAGAAGATTCTCAACGTGGACGAGTTTGTCAAGTGTTCTCTGTCATCCACAGCAATGACCCTGTGACCAGAGCCATCACTCTCCATGGCATGCTCCTCTCTTTGTCTTTCCATTAGGGCTTGATTATTATGATGGTGGTTGAATCCACATTCAACACAGTAGCTGTGTTACAGATTTGCATGAAGGTCATCATTAGTCTCACAACTCAGACAATTGATTCAGAAATATTACATACCTACAACTATTTCAAGAGCAATGCAAGGCTACATCGTCAGTGCATGAAAAAATTTGAAACCTCACTGATTCCAAAAGAAAATGGGATACATACACCATAGAAGACAAAACTTCTTTTTTTAAGACTCAATCATCTCCGTTTACATGATTTCTGAATCTCTGTGTGATTCGTCCTGATTTTATTTTATTAAGGATGGGGCGGCAGGTAGCTTAGTGGTTAAGAGCGTGCCAGTAACCGAAAGGTCGCTGGTTCTAATCCCCGAGCCGACTAGGTGAAAAATCTGTCGATGTGCCCTTGAGCAAGGCACTTAACCCTAATTGCTCATGTAAGTTGCTCAGGATAAGAGTGTCTGCTAAATGACCAAAAAAAAAAAAAAAAAAAGGATGCTTGGCAGTTTGGCCACTATCATCCCTGAAAGGAAGAATGCCCATCACAGCGTTCACCAAAGTCTAGACTCTCACGACAACGCTGAAGTAGAGGCGGCCATCTTTGCATCAGCCTGCTTCTCTGCGCAGTCAAAGTAAGTGGTTTGAGATAAGTTTCAATGTGGTAGCTGTGTTGTCTGGCCGATCTGTCAGGATTTTAATATAGCCAACTTCCTTGCAAACTGTTCACACAATTGTTTTTGTTCAATGCCCCATCCAGGAATGAAGAATAAGGATGTATTGAACTCATTGAACATGTTATTTTCTCTGTCCCTTTCATGCTGCAGAGACTTTGCAGCTGGGATTTGCAACAAAATCAGTGAAATGATTCAAGGTAACATAATGCCCTTAGTATCATGTGAACATCTTGTGCATAATCACATTACATTCTGAGGAATTGGGGTTTAGTTATATACAAGCAACTGAACAAGCACATTTTCAAGGATTCTTCATTGTCCCTTAGGTGTTGTTGTAGAGAAGAAAAGGCTATGTGATTTTATTTTTAGATGAAGCATCCAGGGTCGTGGTTCATTAAGCCACACTGTAGCAAAACATTTTGCAACAGGAAAAAAGGCAGACATGCAAGCATTTGTTATTGGACAAGTTCAGATAGTACATCCTGGTTTCTGAGCTTTTAAATCCATTTCATGCCAACTGAACATGACCCAGGTGATCTCCCATTGGCGCGTGCTATGTTTCACTATGCTCTTGTTCCTCCCCAAGTCTGGACGCCCCGGTGGACCTGAAACTGAACCTAATCCCTATGCTGCTGCACATGCATCACAATGCCAGCCTGGCCTCCAGCAGCCTGGCCTCCAGCAGCCTGGCCTCCAGCAGCTGGGAGCTGCTTCAACAGCTGGTCACCTCCTACCCCTCCACCCCCATGGTCATTGTCACCCTGCACACCTTCACCCAGCTGGCCTCCTCCTCGCACATCGACATCCCCAAACAGGTAGCCATAGCAACGGACATTAGGGGGAAACTAAGGGGCGTGGCTGACATGTAAACTGATAGGACATTTTCGAATTGGTTAAGGTTAGAGTTTGGGTTAAGGGTTTGGTTAAGATTAGCATTAAGGTAAGGCTCCGTTTTAGATTTTGGCTAGTCGGGTTGTCAATGGGATGCTGATCAGAAAAGTCCTCATAGTCTCTCCCCGGACACTAATGGACATTATAATCCCATTGGTACGCAACCCAGACAGTTTTTGGCAGCTGGATGCTATTTGGCATGACACCTACCACCACAGCAGACAGAGTGCATCTCATTCAAAACAATCAGACAATCAGATCTCCCAGTACAGAATTTGAGTGACAAGTGACTTGTTTATATGCACCTGAAATGCTGAAGTCCCTAGACAGCATAGCTTAGCAAAAGTGGACAACATACTGTGGCACCCACCCAGGCTAGAAAATCTAAACTTCTTTCCTGAGCATACATTTCTGTGAGACTAGTAGGAGGCTTTGAATATTGTTTAACGGATAGTCTGTTCTCTCCCTCTCTATCTATCTGCAGTTACAGCTCCTTCTCCAGTACCTGAAGGAGGCCCCCAGAAAAGCAGTCAAGAGACTGGTCATCCAGGACTTGAAGCTCCTGGCTAAAAAGGCCCCCCATCTCTGGAACAGAGAAAACACTCAGGTGGGGTCTTATGTCCCACACATACTTGCAAATTCCCTCCTCCATAATCCAACAGCGAGTGGTGAATTGTCTTTCATTGGTTATTATGAGGATAATCCATGTTTTCACTGTGTTCATTATGAGGGATACTGTGTTCATTTATTTTCCTTGAAATGCAATTTATGACCAGAACCTTTGAAAATAATCTGTGATTCCTCTGTATTTAGACCCTGTGTGAGTGTGTCCTGAGTAGCCCTTCCAACAGCCTGAAGCTGGGCATGCTGTCTGTGCTCTCCACCCTCTCCGAAACCATCGCCATTAAACAGTACTTCAACCCTGGAACAGATACAGTATAATGCAAAGTTCTGAAACGGACTTTCATATAAATCATATTAAAAAAACGATTTACTACAAATTCAACAACAGTGTTTTTCCTTCAAAGTTTAACAACGCACCACTTGAAGCCCATTTTCAAAAAACATCTCAGAGTAGGAGTGCTGATCTAGTATCAGGTCCAACTTGTCCATATAATCTAATTAATTATGATCTAAAAAGGCAAAACTGATCCTTTATCAGCACACCTTGGGGCCTTGTGATGTTGGGAACATTCAGTCAATTACTCAAGTTGGGTTCAAAACATTCCAAAACATTCCTTCTTTCTGCCCCTCAGGTGGTGCTTCCACCCCTCCTCGGCTCACTGACCTGGTTAAGCTGGCGCAGGATTGTTGTTACTATAGCAACCTGGCCGTTGCTGCCCATGGAGTCACTGTGCTCGCCAACATCGCTATTTCCTGTCCAGAGAAAGGTGTTTATAGGGTACCACTTAGAGGGAGGAGATCTCCTGTCACTCGTCTTTCATTAGCTACCTGACCATCACAGGTCTTCACACTTCACAGCCATCCAAAAATAGAGCTTACCTAAGAAAAACTTCCAGTAGTGGAATAATTCATGTTAAAATGGGTTTGGTGCACTCCAAGGTCTTCACAGGCCTTCACAGATGACCAGTACAGTATAGTAAAGTAACAGTCATCCACTTCATTAACTGCAGTGTTTTGTTCTTTGCCAAGAAAACATTTTTTGTAATGGTTGTTGCTGCCTGGCCTGTGTTATTTAGGGATGAAAGTGGTATCTATATGAACACATTTTTCCTGCTTTCTCTCCCCAGACATGATGCAGCTGGAGCAGGACACCGTGATGGGGGTGGAGTCTATGCTGGTGCTCTGCAGTCAGGACGACAGCCCCAGAGCTCAGGCCACGCTCAAGCTGGATAGCACCCTGGGCCATGTCTATACAGTACTCGTACAGTGAGGGGAAAATATACTTGGCCTCCTCGGTAGTCGTGTAAAGTGCCATGTAAACTCTGTAGTTTATTAGCTGTTAGTTTATAGATAGTAAAAAATAAAAAAAACTGTAATAAACAGTTATAACACATTTGTTGTAATTGTGCACTTGTCATTTTAGTCTTTCCCTCTCTCACTCTCCAGATGGCTCTCACCTCATTGGTCCAGCTGCTGAAGAGTCGCCCCCACCTCATTCAATGGGCTGTGGAGTTCCTGCTGTGCCAGCTGCCGCGACCCCTCCCGCGTGCTGATGTGCCACGCCCTGGTGACCATCGTCACCCAGCTGCCCGTGCTGGGATAGGGAATGCTGGGGGATCTGGTGGACTTCTACCGGGTGGCCAGCCACTCGTTCACCGACAAGCTGCAGGAGCTCCTGGTGAGAGATACACAAAGCCCTAACTGTTATTGCCCTAAGGGGACAAGTAAAGGTGTAGTGAATTGAATTAGAAAAAATTGCAAATTGGCCAACTTTTGCACGTTCTGTTGTCTGAGTGAGGGAAATGCTGTAAATTAAGACGACTTTATATATTTTGAAAGATGAGACGTTGAGGATGATAATAAATACTGCTTTGATGTCATACAAGCAAGCCAAACACCTGTGAGTCCAAATGTGCACTTCACATTTCCATATCATAAAACTCATGTCATATACATTGTCAACTTATGTTGATGTACAGTTACAAGATGACATGGCGTCATACCCTGGGTTATTCTGAACAGAATGATCCTATGTTTGTCTACTGTGAAGAAAATTCCATAAACAACAACAGTAATTGTGAGATTACAGGGATGTGTTCCAAACAAAACAACTACAAGTGTGCTTGCTCTAGTTCCTCAACGGCACAGCTAGGAGAGCTAAAAAAAAGTGCATTGACATTGCTTAGGAACTGTGCACATTTTGGAGAGGTGTGTGGCCACTTGGAGACACCAGTTAGTCATTTTTTTGTCTTATGTTGCACCTACCCCACATTTTCCTGGAACGTTCTTATCATGTTACTGAATGTATCCAGAGCATTTTTTTACCAGCAAATGCGGCAAAAAGTACTGTAAATGTAAAATGCACGTAAAATCAACAGTAATGTTTGGATTCAGTCTTGTGTCAGGTGAACTGTTGTGTCCTCACCTTTGGTCTAATAATTTCCCCATCTCCAAACTGTTCCCCTTTCAATTGCTACCATGGTTATGCATACGCTTTTCATATTTCTTCTGTAAGAAACATTTCAATTTAGCCCTATCCATATAGGCCAATTCCCAAAAGTGTGAAGGGTTAATAGGAGGCTAAGGAATGAACACTGATTCTCTCTCATATGTCATAATGGTCTCTGATAAATGCTGTGTGTGAAGTCTATTAAAGCTGTTTCCAAAGCTGTTCTCCAATCATGAATCCCACTTACTGGATACTGACATCTGGCATGTGTCATCTCCTCCCCCTCTGCTCCCCGCAGGTCTCGCTGGTGTTTGTGGCGTCCCTGTCAGCCGAGGTGAAGACGGTGATCAAGCAGCAGCTGGAGAACGTGGCCAACGGCTGGACGGTGTACCGCATGGTGAGTTTCTAGTCACCGGGAAGTCAAGACTCATTAAATCTGGCACATTTACAGTAATGTTGATTAATGTCCATTGCCCCTGTCAAATGACCTAATAAAGTGAAGTCAAGGTGACGCTTGTAGTCTACCTCACTCGGTAAAGTAAATAGGAAAACCTATACTGTGATATGTATAGAGAAGATCCTAAATGGAATCCTAAATGTGCACGCTTAACTTGACACTCGCATAAATTATGCATTGATGTCAATGGCAGACTTCCGTGAAAACTCAAGTTACATGCACAGATCTCAAATTAGGATTCAAGACGTAGTCTATAGTCATTAGTCACTGATACTGATGCCTTGGCTCAATACAGTATTTGGAAAGGTTTAGAAAAAGCTTAGATATCAGTCTAGCAGTATTTCCACTCTACTGTCCTGATCTGTCTGTTCTGTCTGCCTCAATAAAGTCTCGTCTGGCCATCTGTTCTCCGTAGGGTTGCCCTGAGTTCTCCAGCGAGCTGGACCAGAGCCTGCGGACGCGTGTGGCCTCGGAGCACTTCTACTTCTGGCTCAACAGTCTGAAGGAGTTCTCCCAGGGCGAGCAGTGTCTGAGTGGCCTGGAGGACGGAGACTACAGCGCCACCATGACGGCCATCGCCGAGGCCCTGGGCTCCTACCAGAAAGGCATCGCCTCCCTCACGGTCAGTGACTGGCCACCTGCTTATAGGACGGCAACGGCACCATTTAGATATCAACTGACATGCATCAACTGACATGCCTCTATTGTAGGGTTCAATACAGCAGGGTTGCGGTCAATGTAGTTTTCAATTCAGTCCATTCAGGGAGTGAATTGAAATTCAAATTCATGAGTTGAAAACTGCCCTTTTTTAAAGAGGATTTTTCAATTCACTTTCTGCTTTGACTGAATTTAAATGAAAACTGAATTTACTCCAACCGTGCTGTATTGATTTGTAGTGCTGTAAAACTCTAAGGTCCTGTAGTCTTTAGCCTTAAGCCAGGTAATACTGAAGTTCAACTGTCCTTTTCCAGTCTGCTGAACTATCCAGTGAATGAGCCATGTAGTATTGAAAGTGAACTCTCTTTCTCCTCCAGGCTGCCAGCACGACCCTAAGCCTGCTGTCATTCCAATGTGACTTTGTGAAGCTTCGCATCGACACACTCCAGGCCCTGTCCCAGCTCATCAGCACCTGCAACAGTCTCGGGCAACGAGCTTCAGCGCTGAGAACGCATCGCCATGCAGTTACAGGGGAGGGGACACAAAACCATTGAATTCAATTTCTGGTGGCACTAATGTCAGTATACAGCAGAAGGAGGTTGTACATATACATATATATATATACAGTGGGGGGGAAAAGTATTTAGTCAGACACCAATTGTGCAAGTTCTCCCACTTAAAAAGATGAGAGAGGCCTGTAATTTTCATCATAGGTACACGTCAACTATGACAGACATAATGAGAATTTTTTTCTCCAGAAAATCACATTGTAGGATTTTTAATGAATTTATTTGCAAATTATGGTGGAAAATAAGTATTTGGTCAATAACAAAAGTTTCTCAATACTTTGTTATATACCCTTTGTTGGCAATGACACAGGTCAAACGTTTTCTGTAAGTCTTCACAAGGTTTTCACACACTGTTGCTGGTATTTTGGCCCATTCCTCCATGCAGATCTCCTCTAGAGCAGTGATGTTTTGGGGCTGTCGCTGGGCAACACAGACTTTCAACTCCCTCCAAAGGTTGTCTGTGGGGTTGAGATCTGGAGACTGGCTAGACCACTCCAGGACCTTGAAATGCTTCTTACGAAGCCACTCCTTCGTTGCCCGGGCGGTGTGTTTGGGATCATTGTCATGCTGAAAGACCCAGCCACGTTTCATCTTCAATGCCCTTGCTGATGGAAGGAGGTTTTCACTCAAAATCTCACGATACATGGCCCCATTCATTCTTTCCTTTACACGGATCAGTCGTCCTGGTCCCTTTGCAGAAAAACAGCCCCAAAGCATGATGTTTCCACCCCCATGCTTCACAGTAGGTATGGTGTTCTTTGGATGCAACTCAGCATTCTTTGTCCGCCTACTGATGGTAGGCTTTGTTACTTTGGTCCCAGCTCTCTGCAGGTCATTCACTAGGTCCCCCCGTGTGGTTCTGGGATTTTTGCTCACCGTTCTTGTGATCATTTTGACCCCACAGGGTGAGATCCTGCGTGGAGCCCCAGATCGAGGGAGATTATCAGTGGTCTTGTATGTCTTCCATTTCCTAATAATTGTTCCCACAGTTGATTTCTTCAAACCAAGCTGCTTACCTATTGCAGATTCAGTCTTCCCAGCCTGGTGCAGGTCTACAATTTTGTTTCTGGTGTCCTTTGACAGCTCTTTGGTCTTGGCCATAGTGAAGTTTGGAGTGTGACTGTTTGAGGTTGTGGACAGGTGTCTTTTATACTGATAACAAGTTCATACAGGTGCCATTAATACAGGTAACGAGTGGAGGACAGAGGAGCCTCTTAAAGAAGAAGTTACAGGTCTGTGAGATCCAGAAATCTTGCTTGTTTGTAGGTGTCCAAATACTTATTTTCCACCATAATTTGCTAATAAATTCATTAAAAATCCTACAATGTGATTTTCTGGATTTTTTTTCTCAATTTGTCTGTCATAGTTGACGTGTACCTATGATGAAAATTACAGGCCTCTCTCATCTTTTTAAGTGGGAGAACTTGCACAATTGGTGGCTGACTAAATACTTTTTTCCCCCACTGTATATATATATATATATATATATATATATATATATATATATACATATACAGTTGAAGTCAGAAGTTTACATACACTTAGGTTAGAGTCATTAAAACTCGTTTTTCATTTTTTTGTTAACAAACTATAGTTTTGGCAAGTCGGTTAGGACATCTACTTTGTGCATGACACAAGTAATTTTTCCAACAATTGTTTACAGACAGATTATTTCACTTATAATTCACTGTATCACAATTCCAGTGGGTCAGAAGTTTACATACACTAAGTTGACTGTGCCTTTAAACAGCTTGGAAAATTCTAGAAAATGATGTCATGGCTTTAGAAGCCTCTGATAGGTTAATTGACATCATTTGAGTCAATTGGAGGTGTACCTGTGGATGTATTTCAAGGCCTACCTTCAAACTCAGTGCCTCTTTGCTTGACATCATGGGAAAATCAAAAGAAATCAGCCAAGACCTCACAAAAAAAATTGTAGACCTCCACAAGTCTGGTTCATCCTTGGGAGCAATTTCCAAACGCCTGAATGTACCACGTTCATCTGTACAAACAATAGTACGCAAGTATAAACACCATGGGACCACGCAGCCGTCATACCGCTCAGGAAGGAGATGCGTTCTGTCTCCTAGAGATGAACGTACTTTGGTGCGAAAAGTGCAAATAAATCCCAGAACAACAGCAAAGGACCTTGTGAAGATGCTGGAGGACTACGGTTTGCAACTGCACATGGGGACAAAGATCGTACTTTTTGGAGAAATGTCCTCTGGTCTGATGAAACAAAAATAGAACTGTTTGGCCATAATGACCATTGTTATGTTTGGAGGAAAAAGGGGGTTGCTTGCAAGCCAAAGAACACCATCACAACCGTGAAGCAAGGGGGTGGCAGCATCATGCTGTGGGGGTGCTTTGCTGCAGGAGGGACTGGTGCACTTCACAAAATAGATGGCATCATGAGGAAGGAAAATTATGTGGATATATTGAAGCAACATCTCAAGACATCAGTCAGGAAGTTAAACCTTGGTCGCAAATGGGTCTTCCAAATGGACAATGACCCCAAGCAGACTTCCAAAGTTGTGGCAAAATGGCTTAAGGACAACAAAGTCAAGGTATTGGAGTGGCCATCACAAAGGTCTGAACTCAATCCTATAGAACATTTGTGGGTAGAACTGAAAAAGCGTGTGCGAGCAAGGAGGCCTACAAACCTGACTCAGTTACACCAGCTCTGTCAGGAGGAATGGGCCAAAATTCACCCAACGTATTGTGCGAAGCTTGTGGAAGGCTACCCAAAACATTTGACCCAAGTTAAACAATTTAAAGGCAATGCTACCAAATACGAATTGAGTGTATGTAAACTTCTGACCCACTGGGAATGTGATGAAAGAAATAAAAGCTGAAATAAATAATTCTCTCTACTATTATTCTGACATTTCACATTCTTAAAATAAAGTGGTGATCCTAACTGACCTAAGACAGGGAATTTTTACTAGGATTAAATGTCATGAATTGTGAAAAACTGAGTTTAAATGTATTTGGCTAAGGTGTATGTAAACTTCCGACTTCAACTGTATACACTACCAGTCAAAAGTTTAGACACACCTACTCATTCAAGTGTTCTTCTTTATTTTGACTATTTTCTACATTGTAGAATAATAGTGAAGACATCACAACTATGAAATAACACATACGGAATCATGTAGTAAACAAAATAGTGTTAAACAAATCAAAATATATTTTATATTTGAGATTCTTCAAATAGCCACCCTTTGCCTTGATGACAGCTTTGCACATGAGGTAGTCACCTGGAATGCATTTCAATTAACAGGTGTGCCTTCTTAATGCGTTTGAGCCAATCAGTTGTGTTGTGACAAGGTAGGGTATACAGAAGATAGCCCTATTTGGTAAAAGACCAAGTCCATATTATGGCAAGAACAGCTCAAATAATCAAAGAGAAACGACAGTCCATCATTACTTTAAGACATGAAGGTCAGTCAATACGGAAAATGTCAAGAACTTTGAAAGTTTCTTCAAGTGCAGTCGGAAAAACCATCAAACGCTATGATGAAACTGGCTCTCATGAGGACCGCCACAGGAAAGGTGTGGGGGTGCTTTGCTGGTGACACTGTCTGTGATTTATTTAGAATTCAAGGCACACTTAACCAGCATGGCTACCACAGCATTCTGCAGCGATACGCCATCCCATCTGGTGTGGGCTTAGTGGGACTATCATTTGTTTTTCAACAGGACAATGATCGAACACACCTCCAGGCTGTGTAAGGGCTATTTGACCAAGAAGGAGAGTGATGGAGTGCTGCATCAGATGACCTGGCCTCCACAATCCTCCGACCTCAACCCAATTGAGATGGTTTGGGATGAGTTGGACCGCAGAGTGAAGGAAAAGCAGCCAACAAGTGCTCAGCATATGTGGGAACTCATTCAAGACTGTTGAAAAAGCATTCCAGGTGAAGCTGGTTGAGAGAATGCCAAGAGTGTGCAAAGCTGTCATCAAGGCAAAGGGTGGCTACTTTGAAGAATCTCAAATATAACATATATTTTGATTTGTTTAACACTTTTTTGGTTACAACATGATTCCATATGTGTGTTATTTCATAGTTTCGATGTCACTATTATTCTACAATGTATAAAATAGTAAAAATTAAGAAAAATGCTGGAATGAGTAGGTGTGTCCAAGCTTTTGACTGGTACTGTATATATATATATATATATATATATATATATATATATATATATATATATATATATATATATATATACACACTACTGTTCAAAAGTTTGGGGTCACTTATTAATTTCCTTGTTTTCGAAAGAAAAGCAATTTTTTGGTCCATTAAAATAACATCAACTTGATCAGAAATACAGTGTAGACATTGTTAATGTTGTAAATGGCTATTGTAGCTGGGAACGGCTGATTTTTAATGGAATATCTACATAGGCGTACAGAGGCACATTATCAGCAACCATCAGTCCTGTGTTCCAATGGCATGTTGTGTTTGCTAATCCAGGTTTATTATTTTAAAAGGCTAATTGATCATTAGAGAACTCTTTTGCAATTATGTTATCACAGCTTAAAACTGTTGTGCTGATTAAAGAAGCAATAAAACTGGCCTTCTTGAGACTAGTTGAGTATCTGGAGCATCAGCTGTCAGTCTATTCTTGTTCTGAGAAATGAAGGCTATTCCATGTGAGAAATTGCCATGAAACTGAAGATCTCGTACAACGCTGTGTACTACTCCCTTCACAGAACAGCGCAAACTGGCTCTAACCAGAATAGAAAGAGGAGTGGGAGCCCCTGGTGCACAACTGAGCAAGAGGACAAATAAATTAGAGTGTCTAGTTTGAGAAACAGACCTCACAGGTCCTCAACTGGCAGCTTCATTAAATAGTACCCGCAAAACACCAGTCTCAACGTCAACAGTGAAGAGGTGACTCCGGGATGCTGACCTTCTAGGCAGAGTTGCAAAGAAAAAGCCATATCTCAGACTGGCCAATAAAAAGAAAAGATTAAGATGGGCAAAATAACACAGACACTGGACAGAGGAAGATTGGAAAAAAGTGTTATGGACAGACGAATCGAAGTTTGAGGTGTTCGGATCACAAAGAAGAACATTTGTGAGACACAGACCAAATGAAAATATGCTGGAGAAGTGCTTGATGCCATCTGTCAAGCATGGTGGAGGCAATGTGATGGTCTGGGGGTGCTTTGGTGGTGGTAACATGGGAGATTTGTACAGGGTAAAAGGGATCTTGAAGAAGGAAGGCTATCACTCCATTTTGCAACGCCATGCCATACCCTGTGGACGGTGCTTGATTGGAGCCAATTTCCTCCTACAACATTACAATGACCCAAAGAACAGCTCCAAACTATGCAATAACTATTTAGGGAAGAAGCAGTCAGCTGGTATTCTGTCTATAATGGAGTGGCCAGCACAGTCACCGGATCTCAACCATATTGAGCTGTTGTGGGAGCAGCTTGACCGTATGGTACGTAAGAAGTGCCCATCAAGCCAATCCAATTTGTGGGAGGTGCTTCAGGAAGCATGGGGTGATATCTCTTAAGATTACCTCAACAAATTGACAACTACAGTGAGGGAAAAAAGTATTTGATCCCCTGCTGATTTTGTACGTTTGCCCACTGACAAAGACATGATCAGTCTATAATTTTAATGGTAGGTTTATTTGAACAGTGAGAGACCGAATAACCGAATAACCGAATAACAACAACAAAATCCAGAAAAACGCATGTCAAAAATGTTATAAATTGATTTGCATTTTAATGAGGGAAATAAGTATTTGACCCTCTGCAAAACATGACTTAGTACTTGGTGGCAAAACCCTTGTTGGCAATCACAGAGGTCAGACGTTTCTTGTAGTTGGCCACCAGGTTTGCACACATCTCAGGAGGGATTTTGTCCCACTCCTCTTTGCAGATCTTCTCCAAGTCATTAAGGTTTCGAGGCTGACGTTTGGCAACTCGAACCTTCAGCTCCCTCCACATATTTTCTATGGGATTAAGGTCTGGAGACTGGCTAGGCCACTCCAGGACCTTAATGTGCTTCTTCTTGAGCCACTACTTTGTTGCCTTGGACGTGTGTTTTGGGTCATTGTCATGCTGGAATACCCATCCACGACCCATTTTCAATGCCCTGGCTGAGGGAAGGAGGTTCTCACCCAAGATTTGACGGTACATGGCCCCGTCCATCGTCCCTTTGATGCGGTGAAGTTGTCCTGTCCCCTTAGCAGAAAAACACCCCCAAAGCATAATGTTTCCACCTCCATGTTTGACGATGGGGATGGTGTTCTTGGGGTCATAGGCAGCATTCCTCCTCCTCCAAAAAACAGCGAGTTGAGTTGATGCCAAACAGCTCGATTTTGGTCTCATTTGACCACAACACTTTCACCCAGTTCTCCTCTGAATCATTCAGATGTTCATTGGCAAACTTCAGACGGGCCTGTATATGTGCTTTCTTGAGCAGGGGGACCTTGCGGGCGCTGCAGGATTTCAGTCCTTCACGGCGTAGTGTGTTACCAATTGTTTTCTTGGTTACTATGGTCCCAGCTGCCTTGAGATCATTGACAAGATCCTCCCGTGTAGTTCTGGGCTGATTCCTCACTGTTCTCATGATCATTGCAACTCCACTAGGTGATATCTTGCATGGAGCCCCAGGCCGAGGGAGATTGACAGTTATTTTGTCTTTCTTCCATTTGTGAATAATCGCACCAACTGTTGTCACCTTCTCACCAAGCTGCTTGGCGATGGTCTTGTAGCCCATTCCAGCCTTGTGTAGGTCTACAATCTTGACCCTGACATCCTTGGAGAGCTCTTTGGTCTTGGCCATGGTGGAGAGTTTGGAATCTGATTGATTGATTGCTTCTGTGGACAGGTGTCTTTTATACATTCTCACCAAGCTGCTTGGCGATGGTCTTGTTGTCACGAATTCAGCCGAGGCTGCTCCTCCTCCTTGCTCGGGCAGGCTTCGGCGTTCGTCGTCACCTGAGTACTAGCTGCCACCGATCTGTGTTCTATTTGTTTTGTCTATATTGCACACACCTGGTTCCAATTACGATAATTTGTTTCCCTATTTTACCCTCTGGTTTTCTCATGGTGTTGTGCGTGATTGTTTGTTGTTTTGTTGTCATTGACATTGTGAGTCGGTATTTTCTTCCCTGCGTGGAAGATATGTTTATTTACTTGTGACAAGTAAAGTACGTCGTTGACTAAATTATGTGTCCTGCGCCTGACTCCGTCCTACCGCTACACACTGACGCATGACACTTGTAGCCCATTCCAGCCTTGTGTAGGTCTACAATCTTGTCCCTGACATCCTTAGAGAGCTCTTTGGTCTTGGCCATGGTGGAGAGTTTGGAATCTGATTGATTGATTGCTTCTGTGAACAGGTGTCTTTTATACAGGTAACAAACTGAGATTAGGAGCACTCCCTTTAAGAGTGTGCTCCTAATCTCAGCTCGTTACCTGTATAAAAGACACCTGGGAGCCAGAAATCTTTCTGATTGAGAGGGGGTCAAATACTTATTTCCCTAATTAAAATGCAAAACAATTTATAACATTTTTTACATGCGTTTTTCTGGATTTTTTTGTTGTTATTCTGTCTCTCAGTGTTCAAATAAACCTACCATTAAAATTATAGACTGATCATTTCTTTGTCAGTGGGCAAACATACAAAATCAGCAGGGGATCAAATACTTTTTTCCCTCACTGTAGAATGCCAAAGGTCTGCAAGGCTGTAATTGCTGCAAATGGAGGATTATTTGACGAAAGCAAAGTTTGAAGGACACAATTATTATTTAAATTAAAAATCATTATTTCTAACCTTGACAATGACTACATTTCCTATTAATTTTGCTATATTTCCTATTCAATCTCATTTCATGTATGTTTTCATGGAAAACAAGGACATTTCTAAGTGACCCCAAACTTTTGAACGGTAGTGTGTATATATATATACTGAACAAAAATATAAAAACAACATGTAAAGTGTTGGTCCCATGTTTCATGAGCTGAAATAAAAGATCCCAGACATTTTCCATACGCACAAAAAGCTTATTTCTCTCAAATTATGTGCACAAATTTGTTTACATCCCTGTTAGTGAGCAATTACATTTTGCAAAGATAATCCATCCACCTGACAGGTGTGGCATATCAAGAGGATGATTAAACAGCATGATCATTACACAGGTGCACCTTGTGCTGGGGACAATAAAAGGCAACTCTAAAATTTGCAGTTTTGTCATACACACAATGCCACAGATGTGTCAAGTTTTGAGGGAGCGTGCAATTGGCATGCTGACTGCAGGAATGTTCCCCAGACCTGTTGCCAGAGAATTTAATGTTAATTTCTCTATCATAAAACGTTGTTTTAGAGAATTTGGCAGTATGTCCAACCGGCCTCACAACCGCAGACCACCTGTAACCACGCCAGCCCAGGACCTCCACATCCTGCTTCTTCACCTGTGGGATCGTCTGAGACCAACCACCCGGACAGCTGATGAAACTGAGGAGTATTTCTGTCCGTAATAAAGCCCTTTTGTGGGGGAAAAATAATTCTGATTGGCTGGGCCTGGCTTCCCAGTGGGTGGGCCTGGCTCCCAAATGGGTGGGCCTACCCATGGCTGCTCCCCTGCCCAGTCATGTGAAATCCATAGATTAGGGCCTAATGAATTTATTTCAATTGACTTATTTCCTTATATGTACTTTAACTCTGTAAAATCGTTGAAATTGTTGCATGTTGCATTTATATTTTTGTTTAGTATGAAGACCTTTCTTTCTCCCATTCAGATGAGTGTTTCCATAGATGAGTTCCGGAGCCTTGCTGCCAGCTACGCTGACCAATCCTCATTCGACGCTGACTCTGCCACCCTCCGTAACGTGGAACTGTATCCTTAAAGTTAACACGGACATCAACCCTCAAATCATTAGTAAAACCATTGTTAAAACCCTTTCCATATAAAATTGTCTTGCGTGTCTTTAAATGCCACAGACAACAACAGAGCTGCTTGCTGGTGTCCAATGTCATTGAGGCTTTGATACTTGACCCACATTCTGCTAGGTAAGAACTGTTAATATGACTAACAACCTTATTCACTCATTGATGTGTAATATTTAGGGGATTATTTTCCATACCACACCAGAAGCCTTACCACACCAGAAGCCTTACCTAATATTCCCCTGAAATAATCGATCGGAATTCTACCAGAACAAAAATGTTAATGAAAATTCTAATGACGCAAATAGGATATCTCCCTGTTTCTGCCTTCCAGTTTCCTGGACTATGGGACCCTGGACTCGGTGCAGACTGAGAGCGAGTACGAGAGGCAGATGATGTCCGTGTTCAACCACATCCTGGAGAAAGTGGAGGGCCTGAGCAGGAAGCACCCTCCTGTCTCTTACCTGGTGAGATCATCAAACTGCTCAGGGTTCTGTTAATTAGGCACCAATCAGAAGAATATGGACTGATACTGCGAGAACCACTGCCTGGACTTGTCCAATAATAAACACTAATTGTATTTTTCAGTTGCAAAACATTTCCACTTGCTTGCCCTAATGAACATGACCTTGTAATGGTGCTTCTTTCTGCTAGTCATTGAATGGGACGATAAAATGCTAATGTATTTGTTTTTGTTTATGTAGCACACGTTGTCTATGTGACGCGGTCATATCTCTGCTTAATGTCACACAGTCCTTCCAGAGGTACTTCTTCCAGAAGCTCCAGTCTACCAGTATTAAGGTAACTAACTAAAGCAATGGAAATACTATTGGGAATACACTACTTTAGCTCAGTTCTTGCTTTAGGAGCCGTTTGATGCATTGGTATTTAGTACGCTGTAAAATGTATGTATCATATACGCAATAACATTTTAGAAGTGGTATTTTGCATTGAAATTATTTATTAAATTGATCCAGACTTATTGTACATTTTTGCTTTTCCAGCTTGCTCTCTCCCCATCACCTCAGACCCCGACCTAGCCAATCCCAGTGCAGAACAACCAACAACGTGGTGGACGAGAGCGCATTGAGTGGAAGACCATGCCCAAAACCACTGTGTCGGTCAAGTCCTTGGAGGACCTTTACTCCCAGCAGCTCTGCCACCACCAACAGCAGCAGCAGGCACAGCAGGCTAGGCTCGAGCCGGCCCCGGCCCCCCAGAGGAGTAGTGTATACGCCCACTTCCAGTGATACCCCAGTAAACCCCCTCTAACCCATTGCCTTGTCCCAAAAGTCTTGGTTTGTTTCCTTCCCTTCGTCAACGCTTCTCTGAAATGACTGGAGTGAAGCAATAGAGGCAACGGCTTGGTGAGCTTTCACCTACTCATCATTGCTTTCACCTATCCATTTATTTTAGGTTAGTGGTCACGGAATGGAGGAAGGGAGACAAAGCTATGGAACGTTATAGTTAAGGCCCCCCAGGAGGTTGCTTGTCTGGCAGAATTTCAGGTGACTGTTTACTAAAATTCCATACATTTTCCAATTATTAAAGACCACATTTTATTGAAGCTCCGCAATGTGAGTCTGTGCGAGTGTGGTTTAATTGTTGTCACGTAGGGGCAGTAGGACAAATGGCCATTACAGTGGGGGAAAAAAGTATTTAGTCAGCTACCAATTGTGCAAGTTCTCCCACTTAAAAAGATGAGAGAGGCCTGTAATTTTCACCATAGGTACACGTCAACTATGACAGACAAATTGAGGAAAATAAGTATTTGGTCACCTACAAACAAGCAAGATTTCTGGCTCTCACAGACCTGTAACTTCTTCTTTAAGAGGCTCCTCTGTCCTCCACTCGTTACCTGTATTAATGGCACCTGTTTGAACTTGTTATCAGTATAAAAGACACCTGTCCACAACCTCAAACAGTCACACTCCAAACTCCACTATGGCCAAGACCAAAGAGCTGTCAAAGGACACCAGAAACAAAATTGTAAACCTGCACCAGGCTGGGAAGACTGAATCTGCAATAGGTAAGCAGCTTGGTTTGAAGAAATCAACTGTGGGAGCAATTACTGTGGGACTCAAATCCTGCAGTGCCAGACGTGTCCCCCAGCTTAAGCCAGTACATGTCCAGGCCCGTCTGAAGTTTGCTAGAGTGCATTTGGATGATCCAGAAGAGGATTGGGAGAATGTCATATGGTCAGATGAAACCAAAATATAACTTTTTGGTAAAAACTCAACTCGTCGTGTTTGGAGGACAAAGAATGATGAGTTGCATCCAAAGAACACCATACCTACTGTGAAGCATGGGGGTGGAAACATCATGCTTTGGGGCTGTTTTTCTGCAAAGGGACCAGGACGACTGATCCGTGTAAAGGAAAGAATGAATGGGGCCATGTATCGTGAGATTTTGAGTGAAAACCTCCTTCCATCAGCAAGGGCATTGAAGATGAAACGTGGCTGGGTCTTTCAGCATGACAATGATCCCAAACACACCGCCCGGGCAACGAAGGAGTGGCTTCGTAAGAAGCATTTCAAGGTCCTGGAGTGGCCTAGCCAGTCTCCAGATCTCAACCCCATAGACAATCTTTGGAAGGAGTTGAAAGTCTGTGTTGCCCAGCGACAGCCCCAAAACATCACTGCTCTAGAGGAGATCTGCATGGAGGAATGGGCCAAAATACCAGCAACAGTGTGTGAAAACCTTGTGAAGACTTATAGAAAACGTTTGACCTGTGTCATTGCCAACAAAGGGTATATAACAAAGTATTGAGAAACTTTTGTTATTGACCAAATACTTATTTTCCACCATAATTTGCAAATAAATTCATAAAAAATCCTACAATGTGATTTTCTGGAGAAAAAAATTCTCATTTTGTCTGTCATAGTTGACGTGTACCTATGATGAAAATTACAGGCCTCTCTCATCTTTTTAAGTGGGAGAACTTGCACAATTGGTGGCTGACTAAATACTTTTTTCCCCCACTGTATATTATACGGATTGGCTGCGGATCCGAGTTGTCTGGAACCCTCTTCCCGATAGCTAAAGATCCGAAGCTTCTACGCATGTGCGGGATTCTCTACATTACGCACAGTCTCTGCTCTGCTCGTTCGGCTGCCCAAAGAACAGGCTGCTCGGGCGTATTTGTGATGAATGGAGAATGGTGCTTATTTAATAAAGTTAGATCGAAACTGAATCAATATCTGCAAGATCACAATAATAATATTCTACATAAGTTATTATATGTATGTGCCTTTATTAGCTTTCAATAAAGGACTTGTATAGTGGAAATATAAATGTTCAGCAAAGCTACTTACTCCATCTGCAGTTTATTGAAGCGAATGCAGCATTTACCTATTCAATTATCCAGGGGCAGGGCCGCCTCCGCATATGGTGCCCTTGACTGCCAGTGAATCTATTCTGAACCATTTCAACCTTCCATCCCTTTACTCGGCGCCGTTCTAAACAAGACCAGCAGGGGGCGGTCGGTGACCATAGTAGAATAACGTTCTACAGTGGCAAAACAAAATCATTGAATGGTAATAATGATATTGCTCCATTCTCCATTCATCACAAATACGTCTGAGCAGCCTGTTCTTTGGGAAGCCGAACGAGCAGAGCAGAGACTGTGCGTAATGTAGAGAATCCCGCACATGCGCAGAAGCTTCGGATCTTTAGCTGTCGGTCGGATCCGCAGCCAATCCGTATAATATAATGGCCATTTGTCCTACTGCCCCTACGTGACAACAATTAAACCACACTCGCACAGACTCACATTGCGGAGCTTCAATAAAATGTGGTCTTTAATAATTGGAAAATGTATGGAATTTTAGTAAACAGTCACCTGAAATTCTGCCAGACAAGCAACCTCCTGGGGGGCCTTAACTATAACGTTCCATAGCTTTGTCTCCCTTCCTCCATTCCGTGACCACTAACCTAAAATAAATGGATAGGTGAAAGCAATGATGAGTAGGTGAAAGCTCACCAAGCCGTTGCCTCTATTGCTTCACTCCAGTCATTTCAGAGAAGCGTTGACGAAGGGAAGGAAACAAACCAAGACTTTTGGGACAAGGCAATGGGTTAGAGGGGGTTTACTGGGGTATCACTGGAAGTGGGCGTATACACTACTCCTCTGGGGGGCCGGGGCCGGCTCGAGCCTAGCCTGCTGTGCCTGCTGCTGCTGTTGGTGGTGGCAGAGCTGCTGGGAGTAAAGGTCCTCCAAGGACTTGACCGACACAGTGGTTTTGGGCATGGTCTTCCACTCAATGCGCTCTCGTCCACCACGTTGTTGGTTGTTCTGCACTGGGATTGGCTAGGTCGGGGTCCGAGGTGATGGGGAGAGAGCAAGCTGGAAAAGCAAAAATGTACAATAAGTCTGGATCAATTTAATAAATAATTTCATTGCAAAATACCACTTCTAAAATGTTATTGCGTATATGATACATACATTTTACAGGTGCCCTTGACTGCCAGTGAATCTATTCTGAGCCAATTCCACCTTCCATCCCTTTACTCGGCGCCGCTCTAAACAAGACCAGCAGGGGGCGGTCGGTGACCATAGTAGAATAACATTCTACAGTGGCAAAACAAAATCATTGAATGGTAATAATGATATTTGGAACAGTACTTTGTAGAAGTAATGCAATCTTACCACAAGTATGGATGGACTACAGTCTCTTGATCAATTTGATAATGAATTGCTATAACCGTCTTAGTGCACTTTGTGTGCAGCTCTCTGCCCCTTCTGTTTGTGTTATTTGCTATGTCCTTCACAAAATTATGTGTTTTGAGTTAGGTACAGTATATTTTATTCCACAATAGCTTCAGTGATGGGCTGATGTAGGTCTATGCACCGATGCTATTTATTTGACAAAAATGTAACTGTTCATCATCTCTGGCTCAAAGGCAGTATGAAAAATGTATGCACTCACTAACTGTAAGTCGCTCTGGATAAGAGCGTCTGCTAAATGGCTAAAAAATTTAAAGAATTTGGTGGTCGGTGGCGTCAGTGAGGACAGTCAGCGCTTGCTCAGATCCAAGTTTTTGGTCAGCGTCGTCGTCATAGGGAATATCTCCATTGTATCCTCCTCGCGTCCTCGCTCCTCGTCTTCTTCTCAAAATCCATTGGAGGACTAGGTCAGAGGGGAGGGACCTCTGGAATTCTTATCCAATGAGTTTTGAGAAGAAAACGAGGACGCGAAGAGTATACAATTGAGATCTTCACATAACAGAGATTCTCGCAGTAGTATGTAGGAGGGAGAGTCCTAGATGTGAGAAGTGTGCAGGAGGGCATTAGACGAAGGAATGTGTTGTTTCGGTGGAGAAAGTTGTGTGTGTTAATTGTGTGTGTTATTTGTGGGGGTGCCCATGGGGCTGGAGATTGGAGGTGTCCGGTGAGAGAAAGGCAGGTTGATGTTGCTAGGGTCAGAGTAGCACAGAAAGTGTCGTATGCTGAAGCAGTGAAGAGGGTGGTAGAGGAAGATGGGGACAAGGTGAGGGATCCTGAGAGGATTCCTGTGTGTAGGCAAAGACTAATAGAGATTGATGGGAAGAATATGTGCTTCAGTAAGGTAGGTTTCTTGGCATTCATAGCTATACGGTAGGTTTCTTGGCATTCATAGCTATGGTTTTCAATTGCGCTGCAGAAATTGGAATTGCGAGGTTTGCTGGTGGTGTTCAGTCCTCCCAGACCTCTGGTCTGGAGTAGGATTAGATGGGGTAAATAGTGGAATGGGGTGTTTCTTTGTTTATTTTTTATTTTATAGGGCTAATAGTTGGCAGGTTAATTTGTCCTTTTCCCCAATTGTATTATACCGTATCACAAATAAATTAATGTAGGCTGTTAATGGCCTCACTCTCCAGTACAGTAGGTGGCGGTGTATGCACCTTAAATTGGATGCGATCCGCCAACACAATCCCGAAGAAGAACAAGAAGAACAAGAAGAAGAACAAGAACAGAGATTCTCCTCTGGTGGCCGCTGCAGTGCAGAAGTAGCTAGATATAATCGAACGGATCTTACAAGCTAGAGGAGCAGACAGCAGAATCTATTCAACATCACCCGATGTACAAACTGAAACGCGGCCGCCTTTGCAATAAAACAATAAAAGCGTGTTATATGGCTCTTTCATCAAGGGATTGTTGCATTTGGATTAAAGGAGACGCAAGGGATGTAGCTGGAGCTGATGCCTGGCTATCCTGATTGCTATCTACTAGCTAGTTAACTGATGTTGCATCGATGGAATTATTCGAGTG